CCTTTTTAGGTCAAGATAAGGTGTTGATTTTTGTATCTTGACTTAATGTAGGTGTTCTGAGGTGTTGACCTCACTCCTCATTCGAGATTCATGATTGTGAATTGTCGCTTCAACCAGGTGAGTTAGTTATTCTAAAATATCTATCCATATGTGCAATGTGTTTTTTTTTTTTTGCCGAAACGATAGATGATTTATATAACAAACGCACAAATGTGCAAAGATACAACTTGGAGTGCAGCCCAAAGCTGAATAAAATGAGAGGACAGGTCTGACGACCGCCTAGAACCTCAAGCTAAAATAAAAACAGACTCAAAACACTACTACCAACTAAGATCGCTCCCCACAGGAGAATAGAATCGGCCCCCACATGGCAATCAACACAGGGGCCAACGGCCCAGACCGAAAAAACCAAACATAGAACACTCAGGCGAAGAGCCCAGACCAAAAATACATGCCCTAAAGAACACAAATACAAACGACAACAAACAAGCAAAAATCAACATAAAACAACAACTAAAAAAATAAAATGAGCCCTTCCTAAGCAGCTGAACCAAGCAGAGTAAGTGGATACCAAGCCGACCTCGAGTGAATCCCACAGCCAAACGGGAACGACCCGAAACTGCCCAACACTCGGGGGCCTAACGAAGTCGAAATCCAAGCCCCAGAACAACACCCAAAAGCAGACTCGAACTACAACTTCAACACCTAAGATGCCTCAGGACCGCCGCGTAGCCGGACCCGCTAACACCACTAGCTAGTCAAACCACATCCAGTGAACCCCGAACCACGAAGATGCCGAGGCTGCAGCCACGTCCCCTACCGCCCGAGGCCGCCACAATCCTCTACCCACCGCTGCCCCACCTCGGCCATCACACTGGCCGAAGGTCAGAACAATGGTCCACCCCAAACCCAACACCGAAGGAAAGGGGGAGAAGGCAGGAGGTACAGCGGAGCTCTGGCCGTCCGACATCATCGCCGTCGAACAACCGAGGCACCATCCACCCAACCGAATCTGCCGCAAATCTCCGACCACCACGGCCCCACCTCTGTCATCACCACTAACCGGAGGATAGAACAATGGTCCTCCCCAGACCACCACCGGAGGAAAGGGGAAGAAAGCTGAGAACTCAGCGTAGATCCGAACACCCACATCCCTTCGCCACTCCCAGGAAGCCGATGAAAAGAGCCCACGGGCCGGCAACTGAAAACCGACCCAAACAAGAGAGATGAAAGCTTACCTGAGACAAGTGACGAGGGAGGCGCGTGAAGCTGGGCGGAGGCCAGGCGGCCGGGGGACGACCACCGACCCAAGCTCAATTGCCGCAGAGGAAGGCCGATCAACTCTGAATTGGAGGGGAACGAGGGGGTAGGGTTTGGAGGAGAAGGGGATCGCGAGAAAATATCCTCTATTTACGTTGTAAACAAAAACTGGTATGATCTATGTATGCATGTGAACATGTAGCCTATCGATGTGAACTGTTATGGCCGTCAGTACGATTGTCCCCGTCGAGTTACGGTACGGTGCCCTTGTGTGGAAATCTCCTTAAGTCCTGATAGGGCCGTGCCCTTGTGAGGTACGTAAGCCCATATGGAAGGCCGTGTCCGTTACAGTGGCACGTACTCCCGCCTTCAGGTAATGAATCCCCGTTCTGCGGCTAGCGATATATGTGCACAGGAGTAAGGTTATATGCTGTGATATTGTATAGGAGATGAGACATGATGTTATTATTGTTTATGTTCATGTTGCGACCGTACCATTATTATGTTGATCATATGCATAGTGTGAGTACAATATTTTCCAACTGTACTCACTCCCACCTGCTCTTCACGGATGCAGGTTAAGCAGTTGGCGGGTGACGAGGCAAGGCGAGTGGGTGGTCTTGCTTTTTACAATTATTATTTACTTCCGCATTTATGAACTTACGTTGGTTTATTTGAGCATGTTTGAATTGGTTGACTTTGATAAAGTGTTGGTCGGATTCGAACCTTTGAGATTATGCTTTTACTTAATGGTTATTTTGGAACTTAATAAATGTTGGTTTAATTTTGATAACTGTTAGTATTGCATGTATAGGTTCTATCTGATCTGTTTGTATTTTTATTTAAATGCTCTTGATAGTTAAGTAGCGCCAGTTGAGTTTTAAATTTAAATGAGATTTGCGAAAAATTAACTCTGAATTTTGTAAATAAATTCGGTAAATCCTTTAAAACAAAGTGGGGCGTTACAGCCGGAGTCAACGGTCAACGGTCAATGGTCAAAATAATATTAAAATAACTAAAATAATGAAAACAAAAAATTATTATTTAAATAAAGAGTTAAATCTTGGCCACACATCTTGATACCCTTTTAGTGGCTAGGATTGAGTCTCATGTTCTTATTTTAAGAATGTGTCCTCATAGGAACCAATCCCTATATATATATATATATATATATATATATATATATATAGAGAGAGAGAGAGAGAGAGAGAGTTAGGATCATATGAGAATGGTAGATAGTGAAAGAAATAAAAATGAATCTGGACCATGGGATCAATCATATTAATGGGTATGATGAAGTCAAACTATGGTCAATCATTAATAGCATTTTGGCAATTATTTGATCATAGTATGGTCAAATATGTACATTTGACCAATAATTCGGGATAAAATAGTCAATACACATACATTTATGTGGGACCCACTCACCAATTAAATAACTATTTTCTCTCTCATCACTTCTCTCCTTCCCCGATTCAGAATTTCAAATCTGCAATCACACACACACGCACACCACGCCAACCAGACACGGCGGCGCCACCATCAGATCAGCCGGAGTCAAACCTCACGGGTGGCTTCGCACAGCAATCCGCCGCCAAATACCCGCCTCCGACGCCGCCGCCCGGCGCGGCCACCATGCCGTCGAGCACCACGTCGGTACCGTCATTCACGGCCACCTCCGTCAGCGAGACAGCCGCATTCCGGCGTGGCCATTATTCCGTCGAGCGCCACGACGAGTCAGGTGTTCATGACAGTAGCTCCTCACCAGCGACGGTGGCCAGTTTCCAGTATGTAACATCACGGCGGCGGCGATGGCTCTGGTCAGACAAGTTGGCCTTGTGATGGGGTGGTCGACGGCGGGTGGGGCCTGACATTTACGTTCGCAGCTCCTTGCCGGCGACTGAGACTTGTTCCAGGATGTGAGGCCACAACGGTGGTGGCTCTAGCTGGATAGACGACTAGAAGATGGGGCTGACGGTGGCGGGAGTCCAGCTGCCGGCTTCATCCAACTGTGTGTGTGTGTGTGTGTGTCTGTATTCTGTGTGTGTGTGATGAAAATTAAACAAATTGTAGGGGTATTTGTGCAATTTAAAAACTTTTATTAGATTGTAATTTAATAGTGCCACGATTTTGTAATTATCAAAAGTTCAATATATTGCACATTAACAATACACGATATGCACAATATTGTGAATATATGAGCACATTATAAAAACTGTTAAATTTTTACAAAATTACATTAAATTAATTGGCCGGATTATTTGTCGATTTGGTTTAATCGTCCGATATGATGTCGAAACCAGAATAATATAAAAAATATTATTTATATTATAAAAACATATTTAGTGTGGTAATATTTTTTGATTTAATAGTTTATATTTTTTTTTATTAAGAAATGTAATATTCTATATAAACAAATTATAATGTGCATTCTAGAGGATATTAATGTGCTTAACAAAGGTGCATGGTGTCGGTCGATATTGTGCATATTGATACGAACGAATTTTTGTCCCAAATTAAATTGAAACGAAAATTAAATATTTGGCTTATTTGGTCGGTCAATTGAATTATCCTAAATAATTAATTATTTACATTAAAAATATATTTAGTATATTACTATTTTTACTTATTATTTTTATATTATTTTTTATTGAAAAATATAATGTATGAAATATTGATCTCAATATAGTGCAAGAACCAAACTCGATAAAGTGCAAGCACACATACATAGACGTGCATCTAGTATATCATTATTGTGCAATATATCAAGCGTGTATTTTTTTAACGTGTATTTCAGTTTTGGAAAATATTAAATGATCTGTATTTTAATTAACATTACTATGCATTTATCAAATATTTATATAATAAAAACATGTATAGTACAAAATATTGATCTCGATAAAGTGCAAGAACCAAACTCGATAAAGTGCAAGCACACATACATAGGCGTGCATCTAGTATATCATTATTGGCAATATATCCAGTACAGCATTATTGTGTAATATAACATTATTTAATTTAGTAATTTCAATTTTTAATTTAATATTTTATATTATTGTTAGTTGAAAGTAAATAAGAGAATGACAACAAAATACATTGTTATACAAATGTACATTCTTGACCGCAATAATGTGCATTTAGGCTAACACTATTGTGTAGTATGACAATCATTAATGTGCATAATGTTTAATTATATTTTGCGTTCCGGCCGGCTTTTTTTTTAATGTGTAAATTCAATCAAAATCCGAACCAAAATAATGGAGTTATTCGGTTGGTAAGTTTAATTAACTTAAAATAATTAAAATATTTTATTATTTATTATTATAAAAGTATTTAGTATTTTAATATTTTAATATTATTTTTGGTTAACAGGATATAATATATACATGTATAAAGATATGTTTAAAAATAATATTTTTTTATATAGATTGTACAAATTATAAATTTGGCCCAAAGGTTAAATTGAAAATAATCACATTTTACATAATTGCAAATAAGCCCTTTATAATTATCAAATTTTCAAAATCAAGCCCTAAAATCCAAATCTCACTTTGCCCGTCGCTTGTCAACCTCCGAGCACACCAGGCGGCAGCCACTGTTTCAGCCACACCACCACCACCACCACGCAATTCTACTTGTTATCAATTTTATTTTCGTATTTATGTAGTCTAGTGCGATTCTCGTCAAGCTCGTCCCAAAATTTCCAGGGAAAGGAACTCGCGCGGCGATGGGTTGGTAAAATGGTACTCATTATGGAATTGATTAACAATATTGCCAAAGCACATGGGGGCGTATCTGTATTTGGCGGAGTCCATTTTCTGAAAGATCCTGGCTTTCGTACTTTGGTCGCCTGTCCATTCTTTTCAAGCTTTCGACGGAGACTAGCGGATGAGGATAATTATAGTGCGGCGGCACTCGGACGGCTGCGAGCAGCGACGACGATGGGTTTTCGGGTTGTGGCAATCCGCGGTTGCGAGCGTCGGCGGCAAATGGCAACCGGCGAGCGTCGACGGCTACCTGTGCGTGATTCTGCGTGTGTGTCGGAATATTGTGTGTGAGCCGCCGTGTGTGTGTCCCGGCGCATGTGTGTGTGTGTCTGGTTAGTCTGTGTGTTCAAGAGAGAGAGGGTTGAGCTCGACTGCGGTGGCTGAGGAAGGAGGTGACTGAGGATGGTCTGGAGGGCGGTGGTGGCGGACGGCGGGCCACTGGCGGCGGCGGTGGTGAGATTTTCCAACGTGCGTGATGGGTGTGATGTGTGTGTGCGATGTGTGTATTGTGTGAGTGTGTGAGAGAGAGTGTTGTGTGGGGTGTGGTGGGTGGTGTTAGTTGACCGTATGATTCATTGATTGGGGTGTATGACATGTACATTCAATTGTATTGGGGCCCACCTTTTTGGGTGATGTGTAGAAAAATTACCACATTACCTTTAATGATGGTATAATTTTGGCTTCGTTTTTAGTTGTTGGATCATCCGACCCGATGGCTACAATTTATTCTTATTTCTTTCATTGAGCACCATTCTCATGTGAGCGTGACCTAATATATATATATATATATATATATATATATATATCACAACAAAAAAATTGATATATTCCAACGGAAAATCCTATGGTAATATATTCCAATGGAAATTCCAACGGATATTCCAATAGTATAGCTTCCTTTGGGATCATTCCAACGGAAATTCCAATGAAAATATTCTGTTGGAATGTATTTTTCATTGGGATTTTAGATGGAATTTGATGATTCCAACGGCTATATTTCCAACGGCTTTTCACCACAGGAATTTTCGTTGGAATATGCAATTTCTGTTGGAATTTTTATTTCCACCACTATTGGAAAATCTACCGTTGGAATCGTCAAAATTCAACGGAAATTCTAATAGAAAACTCATCCCAACGGAATATTTTTGTATGAATTTTCGTTGGAATAATTCCAACGGAAATAATAACATTAAAATATCCATTGGAATTTCCGTTAAAATTCTATTGGAATATATTTGGAATTTTATCATTTTCTTGTACTGTATATATATATATATATATAAAGGTTTGCTTATTTTTTAAATACTAACTATTTCCCTAAAAAAAATCTATTTACTATTTTGGCCAATTAATTTAGGGGGCGATTGGATATAAATTGAATAGTAAAAAATTCAATCAAAACTCAAATTTAACTCAACTCTAACTCAATCCCACTATCTTCTATATTACCAATATAATTAATTAATATCAACCAATCATTCTTACACATCAAATCAACTTTAATTCACTATTCATCCACTCACATAATTTTAACTAACCATCACTTCCAATCATTTTTCTCCTACTTTACATCAAATCAACTTTAATTATTTTATTTAAATATTATTTTAATATATCTACTAACAACTAACCATATCTCTTTTTTCCAAAATTAACTATAGTTAAAAACAAACCAAATAAAAACTAGTTGAATCCATAAATTATGTGAATCTATTGTTGTATTTATTCTTTTTAGGAAAACATTTTCCCGTAAAACCTTTTTGACATTCCAATTTAACAAAAGTGTGTCATTATCTTAAGGATTGTTTTAATTATTTGTTATTCTTTCTTACTTTTAAGTACAAAAATGTTAAATTTAACAGATTCATTTTTAATCTCTTACGGAATCAGTTTTTCTAATTTATTGCTCCTATTTATGACTTCCAATTTTTACTTAAAAGAGGTTGTTACAATGGTATATGTACTTATTTCCTATTTTACATATCAAATAAAATATATGCGCCCAAATTAAAAAAACAAACTTGTAAATTAGAACCCATATAAACAAGAACTATTTTTATTATCCTTAGTTATGATTAAGAACTCTAAAATGAAAACTATTTTATAAACAAGAACGCGTATACACAATGCGCGGGTTGTGTACTAATTTTAAATAGAAATCTATTAATATATAAAGAGACCATGATGTTTACATGAAATAGCAATTAAAAATCAGCAAAAAAATATTTAGTTTCCCGCCTAAAGTATTTACTATATTGAGTAATATTTTTTTGGCCAAAATTTTAAAAATCCCGCCTAAATTAGTGTAATTAATGTATAGAATTATTTTGGTCAAATATTGCGGCTATTACATTGTTAAACCTTGTAGCTATTACCCTTATTAGTTGCATGGTTTAAATTTGATATGTAATATATTAAAAAAATAGTAAGATCCTTATTTAAAATGAAAAATAAAAAAATAATTATTCATAACTTACGGGTCAATATTAACTTGGACGTAAACGAAATACTCAATTTTTATAGTTTAATAAATTATCAATAATTTATGGGTCAATATAACTTTGATGTAAACGAAATAGTCAAATATTTATAGTTTCATAAATTACTCAACTACTTAATCTTTTTTATTTGAATAGTTTATACAAAAATAAATTATTTTAAGGAATGAAACAATATAAATTTTATATATATACTTATTATTCACATCGGTTGTTAAATATATGACAACATTTTACCAAAATAACTATTTTATGAAATCACATTATAGTCAAATCGAATTTCTGAATAAAAATTGCTACTTATTTTGAAACGAATATAATGTTATTTATTATCAGTTATATGCACCATACGACTTGTGTACTAATGTTAAATACACATTTTTATGTAATTTTATACCTTTTAAACTTTATATAACATTTCAATAAATTAGTATAGGTAATTGTAATACATATTGATTCCATATTTTTAATTTATAAATATTACTCAATAAGAATTTTTAATTTATAAATAGTAATGAATATCTCTTACCGTGCACTGCACGGGACTCATACTAGTTTTTATGTAATTTTGCACCATTTAAATTTTATAAAATATTTTCAATAAATTAATATGGGTACATTGTATAACATATTGATTCCATATTTTTTATTTATAACTAGTACGTATCTCGTGCGATGCACAGGAGAGTGATATTAAATGAATTATTTTCACATGCTCTGTCCATTTAAGTCTATAAATTAATAGGTTTATCATCTATTTTTCACATATCTTAATCAGCGTGTTAAATAAAAAAAACGATAGGGTTATAATTTATTTTTCACCTCTTTTAATCATCGATCCAAACATTAAATATGAGCATGTTAGGGCTAACTTGTAAAATAATTAATATATTATTTAACTAACACATTTATATTAATATAAATTAAATTTTAGTATATATATTTATTCCTGGATATAAATGAAAATAACAGATTTACTTATTCTTGTTCACTATATAATAGTTGATTATTATTTTATTATAAATTTTGTTGTCATATAATGTCATTATTATTTATAACAGTTACTGAGATTGTACGTCTTCTTTTTCTTTTAATTTTATGTAATAAAAAATATTTAATACACATTACAATTATTTAATTATGTAATTAATTTAAAATATTTAAATAAGTCTAAAATTAATAGTGTATATATAATTTATAAAATATACACACGTGTTTTTTTAGGACTTAATTTGTATACTAATTAAACAACTTTTGTTTAGAAAATGCCAAAAACACAATCTCTTAAGTAGTAAATTAAATTAATTTGAAGAGTAATTTATTTATATATATATATATATATATATATAGAAATAAAGCTTAAGAAAAAATTATATTGGCAAAGATCAATTCACCAACTTGATTTCGCCTAATTAATTGGAAGAAAAAACTCTACCTACCCTGTTACGATTTCTTATAAAAAATTTTTCGATAAAAAGTGAATATTTTTTAAAATCGATGCATTTAAATTTTGAAAAGTTGAACACTATTTTTCCTAAATAATTGGATAAGGTCACTTTAAATATCAAAGATGAACCGCTGTTCTTACAAAAAAATGTGCACATAGTGTTGAATGTACATCCCGTTCAAATATAGTTTTATTTTAAAACAAAAAATTGCCCGTGGCTTTTCTTAACATTTTATTTATAATTGTTTTCATAAATAATTGACACATTTTTTGCATAAGAATCTCAAAATTTGTTATCAAAAAATATATATTTAAAATTTTGGAAAAAAAAATAAATATAATACAAAAAAAATGAGATTCAAATTTTGCCATAAGAATCTCCAAATTTATTATCAAAAAATAGGATTCAGATGTTATTACTAAAGATTTACATGTGTTTTTTTTAACTTTCCATTAATAGTAAGTCAAACATTATATTTATTTGTTCAAACATTCTATTAATGTATTTTTCCAACAACCTCTTTATATAGATATAGATATTATTTAAAGAAAATTTCTAATTTATAACAAAATGAATATTTCTTACCGAGCTAAATATGTAGTATACTCATACAGATATATATATTGTTAAGGGTGCACAAAATATGGTTAACCGAGCTAAACCAAAAATTCTATTTAAACCAAAACTGGATATTTGGTTCAGCTTCGATTTTTTTTTTTTTTAAATTCGATTTTCGGTTTAGTTTGGATATATGTATTCGGTTAACTGAACTGGACAAACTTGGAAACTAATATCATACATAAATATGTAATGCCTAATAGAATGATATATTATCTACACCAAATCCATTGATACAAAAGAATTTAGAAGAATATAAAAAATCTCACTAGCTAGCCTAAGCCCATGCTATTTTCCTACACAAATAATCAAACTAAGATAAAAATAAAATAGTCTAGTTTAATTGCTTATACCAATTCGACAATTCTCAAAATATGCTCGTCTCCCACAATACTACATATTTTAATCATGTGGATATATATGACACTTGATAGAATTGGAACACTTGGGAGCGATAGGCTACAGAATAAAACCGACTTTGACTGTAAGGATAATTTTTGTCGCTATATGATCATTAATTATTATTTTCTTTCTTTCTTTCACGAACTATTTGCATTGGAACTTATATGTCGCTCTCTCTGTACGATACAACTACATTTTGGTGTTAATAATTTGGCTGATGTTAATTGAGTATTGTTTAGAAAATCTTGAATGTTGTTTAATATATGTTTATGAATTTGGTTAATTGAATA